TCCAATACGAGTTTGGGGCAAAGGACCAGCAATGTCAACAGATACTCTTTCCATTGGTGCACCAACTTGATATAACTTCATTGGAGCATGTCCTTTATGCTTGGATCCCCTTTTAACACAACTTGTACTACAGGTCCTGCACCATTCTTCCACATCCTGCCTCATACCTATCCAATGATATCTCTGTCGTAGGTGATTCAATGTCTTCTTAACTCCGAGATGTCCTCCTGTTAAACTATCATGGGAATGATGCAGCACAACTACTTGTAACTTTCTCAGTATAACTTTTTGCCAGGTCATCATTTTCCCATCTGCAGTTTCCCGTCTCCGGATAAAAATACCATTTTCAAGCTTCTACTGGTCCCATTGTGCACAATAGTTCTTTGTCACAGGGCTTAAGCTAGGCACCTTCTCCCAAGCAAGGCACAAAACACTTGCTTTTAGAAAATCAATTATTGGCTTCAAATTTTGGTCTTTCTCCTGTTATGCTATAACATCTATACCTGGTTCCACTTCACCATCATCAACTCCTTCAGTTACTTTGACTTCAGCTTGATGGTACCTGGTTAGTTCAACCTCTCTTTTCACACTTACCGGAACTTTGTTGTTCCCAAACGTCATTTTATCAATATTAAACACACACACTTCCTCGGTAGTAAGTAGTGCAACCCTAGTATGCATTGGTCTTCAATGTCAGCCAAATAAACTTTGTGTCTGTCCTTCATGCCCATGAGCTCATTAGTTACCCACATAGGTCCCCACAACCTTGCACATTGTCCTGTCACACCACAGAGCCTCTGTATGGCTTCTGGTATTCCTTTGAGATCTAGCACCCTGATACTCACAAGGGTTTGCTGAGGTGCAGAATACATGACAAAGTTGCACTTTTGGCAAGCCAACTTTCCTGTCACGTAGACACTATGTGTGCTTGGCATTTTAAACTTAGCTGTTGAGATTTTAACAATGGGGGTTGGTGGACATCCCTCAACACCAACCACTACTGGTCTCCTCGAATCTGACTTGTTGGTAATATTCCTCCTACACTGGCTCCTCAAATGTCCATGCTTTCCACAGTTCCAACAACCTTTCTAGATACCAGCCTTTCCCGCTGTGGCACCTCCCCTGTGTTGAAGTTTCCAGCATTGAGCTCTCTTGTGCCCAGGTTTATTACAGTGCCAGAAAAGTCTCTCAAACCTCTCTGAAAGCAGACCTTTTCTGGCCATGAATCCAGATGACTGTACCAGCCTCGGTACCTCTGTGCTGGACTTAACGTAGGATTCAAATTCGAGAGCTCTGGCCATTGCATCCTGCATGGTAGAGGGGTGTGCTTGCTTCACTTGTATTATAAGTTGTGGACTGTCCAAGGCATCTACGAACTGATTCCTTCAGCAACAACTTGAGGAGATCGGGTGGTGCAGTTGGGTAGGCCTTGTGTGCCATGCTTTCCAAGTCTTGTGCCAGCTCTTGCAGCTTCTCCCCTTTAGCACGGATTCTCGTCCTAAACCTGGCCTTGTAGACTTCTGACTGGCTTTGGGTTCCGTACCTGAGTTCTAGAGCCTCTACCAGT